TAGTGTTGATGTTTACGTCTCTTGACAGGGAGGCGAGTCTGCGACAGCGACTGAGAGGTTTTGAATCCACCTATAATATTTTATAGCATGTTAAAGGTGATTAAAGAAATTCCAAAGCATGATACTTTGTTGCAAGTCGCCAGGTCAATGGTTCTGCGGTGGTCCATGCAAATGTCGGTTTGTGTTTATTGGCAGGGAGGCCAGCCTGCAAGAGCGGCTTTAATATCCTCACGACATGGCATGGTGAAAGGGATTGCACACTTTGTTGCATAACACGATATTGAACACATCAGGGATGATCCATAAAAATGGGATGGATATTGGGAAGATGAAGTGTGGTACGCAACGTTCCGGACTATGGAGGTATGGCATGATATGTCGAAGGACTCGGCCCAACGACGGGGAGAGCCGAAAGCTACTTGTGCATGTAGCAGATAGCCGTGAGACAGACGTGCAACTAAAGCCTCTGGCGAGTGAAATGAACACACTCTGATTGAGGGAACGGACGACCGGTACAGATGGCGTCGGGAAAGCAGCAACTTGGCAAAGCATAATTTCTGGGAGACTAAGCTCCGTTCCAATCTAGAGACCGAAAGGATGTCTTGTGACAGAGCCGCTGAACCACTGTAGCGCATTCTCGTAATTTGCACTTCTTATTCTGTAGATAGACTGTGCAAGGCGTACGAAAGACGTGCTCCAACGAACTAGCTACATGAAGGAAGATATTTTGAAATGAGCTTCCGCTAGGAATAGAGTAGAGTGAGTACACATCTGAATCATTGCTGTTGTTTTCAACGGTCTTTTCCTCCTGCTTGTGTAGTCTTTGGTAAAGATTCTTTACATAAGATGCCAGCTCCTTAAAGAAAATGAAAACACTTTTTCAAAACTTCAAGAAGGCATAGCAAGGACAAGGAGGCGAGTCACACACACGCACATAGACAGAAACATGAACTGTCGCCCTGAAAGGACTTCACGGCTGACTTCCCACAGACCATATCGAAGACTTTGCCAACAGCAGAACCAGACAGTTCAAGCCACCGGTGTCCTCTGAAGACGCAGGCGCCATTCCGAGGTAAAATTGCAAGGATCAGCTCCAGGAGCTGCTGAAAGAGAGGGCAGAAATGGCATCGGAAGAAGCCAGGTGGAAAGCAGAATCGGGGCAGCTTCAAAAAGACAAGGCTTTCAAACGACTATTAGATTACTGTGACTATCCTCGTGAGGAAGGTCTCACACTAGAATATGAGAGACTGTACTATGAATACCAGACGTTGAAGGGCCGTTGCGTTGCCACACTGAAGAATGAAAGGAAGAAGTAACTCAGGCTCAGTAGGGTAAAGCTGGACATCAGAAAGCTCGAGGACAGCCACAGGATCTTTGAGAGCAGAGCAACAGTTTCACATCTGGTGAAATACCGTAGAGATACATAGTAAAACATGAACGAAGCTTTGAAGGTGATTTAAAGGTATCAAAAAGTATTTGCTATACCTACACTGGTCTAGGAATTTTAGTGATAATTGTATAGTAGGGGTGAGAATTTTTGACGTTTTCGAAAAGGTGGCAAGGTGGATGAGACGCAGATTGTAAGGAAGGCTAAGGTATGCAGCGTATCGTAGACACCGACGAATCGCCAACTTGGTGCTGGGATATTGGAAGGTTAGAATGGTGGTACATGTTAGAATACCAGCTCAGGTATGTGTGGAAGAGCGTCGAGCACGTGACCAAGTTGGAGTGGGTCGGCCATGTTGGCCGGCTACCCCGCTTGGCGGAAGCGGCATATAGGCAGGTAGAGTGTGATCACACCTATGTTGTTCCGACCAAAACTGGTAATACGATATATTGTCACAACCAACCTGGTGCCTGTGCAAATAGTACATCTTAATATATATAGGAGACAGGGTAGAGAAATGTTCTACGGTAGGTTGAAGATGTTGAATAACGAAGTGTAAAGCAATCGCAGATATTGACAGGTCCAAAGGTCGAGCATCTCATTGTCCTTGTATGCGAGGTTGTATTATCGACGAAGAGAGCTGAGGGGTGAAGGTGAGCCTAGTAGACATACGTCTGAACGCACCCTGGTCCATATTGTAGCGATTCCAATATCTTTGTCTGGAGGAGATGAGGTGCCGCTGGGGAGCCCAGAGCCCACTCGTTGACCAATAAAGTGATTGTACATTGACACATCTGGTATCTCGAATTTCTTGCAGTAGCAGGAAGGGTAGAGGGACGGGATCCTAGCTCAATAGTTGGTTAGATAGGTCAACACTGCTTGGTGATGTCCTTCGTATAGTAGCATCTTCGACTAGCTTTCTGTTAGTCCTTCAGTTGATATCCAGTCTCATCCTTCGCTTCATTGTATGAGATTATGTTGCATATTGGCGGAAGTATCCTACTCCGGAACCTATCTCTAGTGAACTTAGGGAGTTCTTTGCCTTCAGAGCTTTTCTAGTTGCCTTCCGTTGCTCTTACTCAACTTCCTTTTTGATCGAATGAATGTTGATCTGCTGCATGCTCATAGTATCCAAGATGTCGCGCTATCGTTTATAGTTCCGAGTCTGTAGCAACCTAGTTGTTCCGGAGAGTCATTGTGAGTCAGTGACTGCTTGGTGTAGTCTTGTTGTTTTGTATGCAACCGATAAGAGCATATTATCTTTAACAGTGACCTATTCGCATCCGCATCCGCATCCGGCCCCTGGCCCCTGGCCAAAACGGTGCCTGATAGCCGTTGGTAGCCTGGTGTCTGCGTCTAAGTTTGTGATCTTATTGTTATTGAAAAAAGTGTTCTCTGGCCGTCCTTGTCTGCTCCGCTTGAACGGCCTATGGAACGGTCTTGCGTAAGGATGAGCTATACATGATTTCTGTGAGCTAATTTCGTGGCCACTTACGTTCTGTTGATAGGCGGAATTGATATTGTGAATGATGACCTTGTGTAAGCAATCTTTTCATTGATGCCTGACACCCGCCTGCCCTGATTCTATTGATGCTGTTGATAGCTTCGCCACGTGCTAGTATAGGTGCAAGCTTCCGAGTCGCACAATCTCGCCAGGTATATCAACATGGGTTCTATTGCACGCTAGCGTGTTTCCAAATACAGTTTTCCCACTGGTTCTTGCTCTTTCTGAGCAAACTATATGTCATATATCCCTAGAAAGTAACTTCTTTGCCCGAATGTACCTAGGTAGTGTGTCCCCATGCCTATCCGTTGTTCTGAGCTAGACAATATTCATCCAAGCTTTTGCTGCATTTCGACTCTGCCCAATAGCATGGGATTTGGCATGCAATCGAATTAAGTTTGGTTTCGCTAAGAGGTTGCCTGATAGTGCTGATCTGGCTATAGGTAGAGTAGAACTTAATGTTGTCTTCGTGACTCGGCGCGGCTATACTCGACTCGACCTTAGTGACCGTCCCATAACAGCATCCGGTAGTAGCGAGGTGATTGCAACGAGTCCAGAGATGAGCAAGTCTTTGGTTCTGGTAACTGCATTCGGTCAGTTTTCGTAAAACGCCTCCGAACTTACTCCCCTTTGGGTATCAAGCCCACAACTTAAGTCTATGTGCTGTTCCTAGTGTCCAACTCTCGCAGACACACGCGTCCAACATCCGGTTAAGCTTCAACAAAATAGGATGATCTTCCTCAAATCTTGTAGACCATGCCGCTTCCGTCTTGGAATTATGTTCAGATTTCCTTGTTCGTTGCATATCGCACATTTCTTGTGAAGTCACCTTCGTTTCATGATCTGTGATGCGATTTAAGGTACTGTAGAAGCGTCTGCATCCGACCAGGTTGGTAGCAGAACCAGTCCCATATGATGTAATGGAGTCTTCAGGTTATATAAGTCGCTATGAGAGAATCAGAATAATTACGGAACCTAGGGCCTCCAAGAACCCGTGCCAGTGAATACCTTTGACGTACAGGTAGCAGCGTCCGATACACGCCCCGATGGCTTCTAAGGATCCCAGAAGTCTTCATACCTGGAGATCGGTGAGTAGCTGCATAGCTACAAACTGCTGCTTGTCATCGCCTCTGAGGGATCTTCTCGGTGGGTAGACTGCCGTGCTGCCCTATGAATCAACTTGACGCTCCAACTTGGTATTTATGTCTACGGCTCGGTCGTTATCGTCCAATGTTATGCTTGCAGTTCTGTACAACGCATTGCCATGTGATGAAGATCTTTGGACACCTGCGCATCTCCCCGCGAGGGATGGATGTGTTTTCGATACTAGCCCCAAAAAAAACTGAGCGTTACGCAAAGTTCCGTGCGCGGTAGCGGTGAAACGGGATACCTAACAGACGTCAACAGGATATTTTGGCCGTAGTGTTTAGTGAGTACTGAGACTCTCCATGCAGTCAGATGACCGGCACAAGCTCCATACATTGATACCTTAGATACCGTCCTCGAACCGATCATCATCACGTCTTTCCACGTTCCCTCCTGGTGTGTGCGTGCCATCAGCCCTCCGTAGCATAGCGCACCACTTCATGTCACTATCTCAAATGTTGTAACTGGTTGTATGCTGTAAATCCTATCTCTTTTCGTCGTATTGCTGGGAGAGAAAGCGAATCAGTCCTCGCGGTGAAGTTGGCTTCAACTTCGGATTAACACCATAGATGCAGCAAGTTATCTCTTTAAATGTCGCCCCAATGGCGTCCGCAGATGTTCCCGTCGATACCTACGCCCACAGATGTGTCGATGTGCCAAGAATACTGGGACATCCAGACCGTGAAAATCGTACTGGTAGTTGCAGGTTTTCATATCGGCGCCATTTACGATATATATAAAAAAGGAGCTGGCAACTCCAGATTGTATGCTTAAACTCCGAGACAGCACTTATGTTTCAAGGATCAACGTATTAGGTAGGTGGGTGGGTTCTTGTATCCACTTTAAACATAATGCTTCGCTACTTCTTGGCAGACAAAAAGAAAACGCGATCGCACACTTTCTCAGGCATCATCGTTGAACGCCTGGGGAGAGATGAAAATCACAAAAGTTTAATGTTAGACATGCCTTCACCCAGAATTGAACTAGGGATCTTCGCATTGCGAAGAGTGGTTGTACACTCTTGAAGATACAAGTGCGACGCGTTACCACTGCGCCATGAAGGCTAAATCTGCTGATTTATGATATCGGTAAACAAGTATAGCATTATATTAACCAATCTTAAAAAGCTGGTTGGAGTGTCAATTAGTAAGCCTGACCTATCACGTGACAGCATATCAAAAACATGGCTTGCGGATCATCGAAACGTTGCGGTACCCACCTTCGAGAAAACCGTTCCGCACAAGAGGCAGCCATACCAGCCCAGTCGGCTCTTACGTACGGCAGCCGCTAAATAGAGCTAACGCAGGCAAGTGCGAAGTATGGACGTCTCGTTCCCCCCGACTCTTCCAACAAGCAAGTGAAGTAGGCGTCGAAAAACTCGTTGGAGAAAGCGGAGCTGGCTTTCGGCTCTACCATTATGAATAGGGCCAAGCAGAAGAAGGTTGAGCCTGAAGTCATCGACATAACAGACGCTGTGATAAAGTAAGTCGAGCGGCTAAAGCGCGAGCTTGCTAACTGCAAGCGCAACATAGCGAAGGCCTTTACCGTCTCAGAGTTTCTTTGTGGCTTTCTGACGCGTTAATAGCAGGAACTTTTCATAGTCTACAACCGGGCAGCAAATCATAAAGACTATTGCCGACATTGTTGAATGCTTAATAGCAACAGCGAACCTGCCTGCGCCAAAAAGAAGAGCATCTTCTTCGACCTCGGCCATGACACCATTAAAAAGTACAGCGCCGACCTCAAAAGCTTCTATAAATGGGCGTTGCTGGACATACCGGCAGCATGTCGCGCATTCCTGCCGTGAGACGGTGTCGAGACGTCCACCTCTGGTACCAGTGGTGGATACCCCCATAATAGCCGGTACTTCAATGGTACGATAACCAAGATCACTCAAATCCGTCTTTCACAGTCCACTACCAAGAAATTAATCTAACAAGGTTTTGTCAACCAACTGCTTGCATCTCATTTGACTCATCTAAATCTTTGTCAAACTCCTCTATACCTAACACAACATACCACATTTCCTTTAACTCCAACCCCAAACATCTCACCTCCAGATCCCCCTCCCTCTCCTTACCAACTTCTGCACCAAATGCCCCATCCGCTCCCATTTCCCAAAACAACACCCCGCCCTCCTCACACTTTCCTTGCAACTCTACCAGCAAATACCATCTCCGATGTTGCTGTACATGCTAGGACACGGCCCGCTCCATCTGCTCAAGAGCTCCCGCGTAAAGAATGTCTCGGCGGCTTCTTGTTCTAGATAAGGCATTTTTAGCACTTTTTGCCGTACCTAGTAGATCGGAGATCTTATCTCTTGTGAGTACTGTATGGCGAGGTCGCGGTAGCTTTGCGGGGCTATGGTAAGCCATAACTGGGTGAAGGAGTCGCTTGCTTTACCTTTACGAGCCTCCTAAGGGAGGCGAGTGTGTAGGTAGATTGTGGAGGCCCTGCGAAAGCGGCTCTGGCCTTCGCGGCTTTGTCCGCTTCTTCATTGCCTAGGACACTCAGGTGTCCTGGTACCCATCGGGCCCGTAGGGCACCTGGTCATGTGTGTGGGAGGCGGCGTCGTAGTGGCCATTGTCGTGCTACCTCCTGGAAATCCGTAAACACCTGCTGCGGCAGTAGACAGCGATCTCCTCTCACAACAACCACGACAATGGCACCAACAACAAGGAAGTCTCTCCATTTGAAAAGGTCACCGCCAAGAAGGATAGTAAACGCAAAGCCGATACCTCCCTCGCTACCGCTGTTAAGCCTCCCGCTCCAACACAGAGGCTGCTGTCTAGTCCTCGGCCGATGACGAAGCAGACATTCAGGACACCAGGGCATTGCAGCCATCGAGAAGCGAAGAACAAATGTCGGCAGACTTGCTAAGAGAACGAGACCTGGTAGCGCTGATAAGGGTGGTGGAGATTGAGAAAGGTTGGTTCCTCAGCTTTATACAATTAACTATTTTGCCAGTAGTCACAGTACTTTCTTTCTTACTGAGACAAGTAACTTGAAGTCTGCGAATATTATCGACTTCCTTATGGCTAGTATTTTGGGTGCAGGGAGGGGGCTGGATTAAAGGTGAGTAAGACGAAATGAAAAGAATTTTGAAAAGTACGAAGCAACGTTCTGGAGCTTCCCATATCGCTAGTCCGTTACTGAGAACAACCTCAAGGTCTGAACTGCACTGGTAGACTCAGAATGGTCTTCGCCACTGAGACTGATGCGCACGTCCATTCTGTGGTTTGTCTAATCCAAAGACCCCTAAGTATAAAGCACATCCGTTATTTCCTCATGTTCTGGTGATGAATTGCTCAGGTATTATATATACTCAACCGGCGAGCGGCTCAGATATAGTGACATTCATTCGTTATCTCAGTTGTGTACCATTTATCCATAACTGCGCTTGTAGTGGTATCATCATGTTGCTCCATGGCAGCTTGTCCTTCCTAGTTCATGTCCCAGAAATTTCTATGCCTGATCCTTTGCATTCCCTGACAAAAGCCCCCCGATGTTGTTTTTCCAAATCTACCCCTCGATAATAACGCCAGCGTCTTTCAGCTGAGAGTCTATTTGGACTTTAAGAGAGACTTATCTTCCGAAGATGTTCCAGTTGCAACAGCAAGACCGCCAAGTATCTCACCTCCGAACACATAGACTATGTATGAAGGAAGCACGATCCATGCACCACTACCCATTGTTAGCCAATTCCTTCCAATTTCGACCTGGTACATACTTGGGAATGATCCACAAGAAAATCAGGTCCATCACGCTGTTATGCCCAATGTTGGCGAATCCCGAGTAGTATTCGTTCGCCCCTATACACAGCATCAGCTCTCCATATAGAATTGGTACCTGCAGGGCAACTAACAATAAAGCACCGTCTTACTAACAGTCATCACTGCTGCACTATACGCCACCAACAATGCCAACATCCCCTCCCGTCCTTGCACATATCTCTGCTCCCCAAGTATCCCCGCGACCTTCTTCTCAGGCGCACCCACGCCTTCTGCGTTCGATGGCTTGCCTTTGGTAAACAACACAAACAGATAATACACATACATCGACGTCTCAAAAATGTTCAACAGCGTCTGCGCAGACGTAAACCCATTATTGCCATCATACGCCGGCCAGCCATAGATATAGTCGATCTTCGCATAGAGATCGTACGGCATGTAGAGCGGCCACTGCCATTTCCCGCCGGCCATGGTGTGCGGACGGGCCATCACGTAGCCAGTATCCCAGATGACAAGGGGGAGCGAGATGAAGAGCCATCCGAGGATAAGGTTAGAGGGTGTGTGCGCCCATTGTGCTGGTGCTGATGTAGGACTTGGAGAGGAGCTGGAAGACATGATTGATTTGTGATTGTAGGCGCGTTTGGGCGATTTTGTGAGTATGGGCTCGGGCTCGATGCCGTTTGGATGACCGCGTGTTGAGACCATGGGGAATTGGGGAGTGGTCTTTCTATGGAGGGGAAGGAGAGGCTGGCTTGTGTTTGTGTTTGTGTTTGTGTTTGTGTTTGTGTTTGTGTTTTGGAATTGGAATCGCCGACGATGGGGCCGAGGATGCGTCAGCAGCGAAAGTCCGGGGAAGCTCTTGCTCAGCTTGTCATTGGCGGTCGGAAATCAAAGTACAACGTCATCCATCAAGTTTTTCGCTAAGACAATCAACCATCTGGCCTTCTTGTTCCTAGCCACCCTCTCTATATTGCCTCTTCTTTTCTATTTCTGGTACAGGGCACTTATAGCGCAAGCTTCATGTTCTAACACTGCCAAAATCATGAGTTCCGTGCCACTGACACCAAGACGTTTCTCACGGCTTTCGAAAACACCTACACCATCCTCCTCAAAGAGCCAGACTCAATCCTCTCCCATAGAAACAACCACAAACGCCACATCCTCACCAAAAACCTTCACAAGGATGATAGGCAGGCGCTCCCCCTTTCTGCCAACAACACTAGAAACATTCCTCCTAGCAATCTATCCTACAACCCTCCTGGTCGGCACTCTCTTCGGCCTTCTCGACCCAGCGACTCGCGTCTCCCCCTACAATTCGGTCTCGCAGTCACACTACGCACACACAGCACCCTCCTACTTCGCTAAAAAATCAAATCTCTTCAACGTGCTCTTTGTGAAAAAGGGATGGGCATGGGTGACGGTGTCATTCTTCTTCTTCCTACTCACCCATCCCTCCATGGGCCCTTCATTTCAGGCCACCGCAAAGAGGATAAAAGCAGTATTACGTTGGTGCATTATAACAGTCTGGTGGATATTTGTGACCCAGTGGTTTTTCGGCCCAGCGATAATCGACCGCGGGTTCCGTCTCACAGGCGGTACATGCGATCTCGTAGCCCTCGCCGACGCCGGGATCATAGAAATGGACGACACGAAGCAATTTGTGACGGGGATGGCGTGTAAAGCAGTCGGCGGCACCTGGAAAGGCGGGCATGATATCAGTGGGCATGTGTTTTTGCTGGTGTTGGGCAGTATGTTTTTGTTGGAGGAGGTGCTGAATGTGGTCTGGCGCAGCGCGAAGATGAGGGAGGAAAGGACGGTGGTAATGTGCGACGGTGCGGTCAAGAGCGCGTTTGTGGAGAGTGAGGTTGAGACTATGGGGGCGGCGGAGAGGAGTGGCGAGTGGACGCTTGCAACGAAGGGGGTGGTGGGTGTCGCGGCGTTGAGTGTGTATATGTTGATGATGACAGCAGCGTATTTTCATACGTGGTTTGAAAAGGTACGTCGCAATTCACTCACAATTTGGAGTATTCGCTAACTTGGTATCTAGTTCACTGGGCTACTGGTAGCTCTGAGCGGCATCTTCGTAGTCTATTTCCTACCCCGAGCGGTCCCAGGGTTGCGGAGCATCATTGGTATGCCAGGAGTATAAGGACCAAAACCATATAGACAAAAAGGTAGTAGTCACTAATTAAACACATCTCGAAGTCTCAGCCTTTCAGACATTCAGCACAGCTTTCCATGTAACTCGCACACGACCGAATAAGTAGTGAGCCTCAAATTCCTGATATGGGGTTAATTTACGAAGCATGTAGAGACAATGAAATGGGAGATAT